GGAGATAAAGTTCTCCTTTTTTAAATTTAATTGGTGCATTTTAAGTGTATTTATTTAGTGGTTCATATATTTCTGCTTTTATTTCTAATTATGTCAGTGTCGGTCCTCCGTACTGCAGAACTTGAAGAGGTAGTTCAGTGACTGAATCAGGTGTGTTGGAGCAGGAAACATGTAAAACCTGTAGGACTGCGGCCCTCCAGGACCAGGACTGCCCACCCCTGCTTTAAGCCTTAATTAAAAATTGATAAAGTATCAGTAAATAAAATATTGCGATATTTCCGTGTATCGTTGTTTTCTTATTTAAGTTTTAAAGGAAACAGTCGACTTTAGCAGCACCTCTACCGTTCTGAGGCGGGTTCTGTGGGACTACAGGGTACCAGGGTTACACTGTGGGGCTATCCGGTCCCTGTAGAACCAAAACAGGACCTGGGTCCACAAAGTTTAGCTTGTTCTTGGTACAGGACTGTAGCTGGACTCTGATCCTGTCGGACAGGACCTGGAGGTTTAGCAGAGAGGAGGAGCTCTGGTTTTGGGTGACGTGGTTCTGTTGACTGACATGAACGTTTGTTTTTTTGTTTTTAGGGAAATTCTCTTCATCATGGCGTCTTTATGGGTAACTGTTTTTATTGTTGATGTTTTAACCTGAAGAGGTCACAGTGATGAATGTATAAAATTATAAAAGATGTTGAAAATGAAGCTAATAGAGGAAGAGGAGTTGATGATGAAGATGTTGTTGAACTGTTTCAGGACGACTTGGAGACCTTCGCGAATTCTCCTTCATCTTTTTCTGCTAATGTAGGTCCTAAAACCTCACATGTTTTCTGTATAAACGACACATTAAGTAAAGTCCTGATTCATCCTGTTTTTAGAGTGCAGAGCGAGGAACCATCAAGCCGAAGGCGAACTTTAATGCGGAGGAGGATGCTGCGGCTATAAAGAAGGCCATCGATGGATTTGGTACAAAGTTCAGTTTTTTTGGATGAATATTTAGTCAGCTTTTTTGTGTTTCAGTAAAAAATTACAGAAATCTACTTTTCTGCTTATTAAACATACAATGTTATGAATGGTTTGGAAAGAATGAACCCAGGCTGCAGGCAGCTTCAAAAAGGCAAAAATAAGTATTTATTAAACAAAAAAATGCTGACAGGGAGTGGCAAGACAAAGAACAAGAGTTATCACAGGCTGAAAACGGCACAATGACCAGACAGGGAGGTGAAGACAAGACACAGAATAAAAAGGTGAGGCTAACGAGCACAAACAGGAAACACCTGGGAGAGAAACAAGAGGAGCAGGCGAGAGTGGGCGGGGCTGAAGCAAAGGCAGACGTGGAAGAAAACAGATGACAAGACAGAAAATACACACAACAATCATAACATACAAATCCTAAAACGCTTAAAGTTATTTTTAATGACCGTTTTGAAAAAGTAACAAACCTAAATAAGTGATAGTTAGCTTTTGTCATGTAAGCTAGGACAGCTAAAGCTTAAAGCTAACGCTAGTTAAAATGACTATAGCTTTTATCTAGCGTATGTTTTCATTTCTACTCCAGGGTTCAGGATTTTAATGAGTCTTAAAAGGAGCAAGTGCCTAAAGTTTAGAAACAAATAGGCGCTAACTTTGATCCAAAATGGCGGCACTGAAGTGATGTTGTTGCTAATTGCTAGCTAAACTTTCTAAAAGAAACATCTCCAACATGAAGCATAGAGGAAAAATATAAACCTTTATACATAATTTATATTTCTCAATGTGTTATCTTAAATTCAAAAACCAATTATATTTTTTATTTTAGTTTTGAATAAAATATAGCTAAGCTAAGTCTTGGCTAGCTTTAGCTAAAGCCAAGTAAAAATGCTTGAAACTTACATTGAATCAATTTTTATGTTTATATAGTTTTTCTAGCTTAGGATTTTTTTAGTCAATATTAGCATCTTTAAATAAAACAGCATGGCTGAAGGCTACAACAGCTAGTTTTGATCTAAAATAGTTGCTTCAGTCACAAGTTATTGAAGCGATGTTGCTGCTATGCTAACTAAACTTGTTAAAAGAAACAAAATGAAACATAAAGTAAATCTACAGAAAATGTGTCTTATTTGTCTGAATCTCAAACATGAATATGATATGTTTTTGTAAACAGAAGTTTTAATAAAGTTTTTAAAGTAAAACCTAGCTAAGTTAATTGTCATGGCTAGCTTTAGCTAAAACTTGAAACTAAAGCTAGTAAAAAAATACTTGAAGCTTGTATTAAATCTATTTTTTATAAAAAATAGTTTTAATAATTTAGGATTCAGGATTTTGATGAGTCAGTGTTGGCATATTTCAATGAAAAGTGTAACTATAAAACAGATAAATGCTACGTTTGATGCAAGACTGAAAACTCATTGATTTGGTCGATTTTAGGCTAAAGTTAATCAAATTCTTAATTTAATTTTAATATTACATGACATAATAAAACAAACATTTATCTAAAACATGTAGGCCTACTGCTGTAAATCACAGCCTTGAGCTAAGTTAGTAAGTAAGTAAAGTTTTTAGCGTCTTTCACAGAAATAAATTCACAAGGTGCTGTACATTCAGGGAAGGGGGCGGGGCCAGTTAAGAAACACCCATTCAAGAAGACATACAAGACAAACATGGGGGAACAGGTGAAACCGGTCATGCAGCAAACACAGTTGCGCTACCTAAATTAGCATGGCTAATTTAACTTTTTAAATTTCAGGAACAAATGAGAAGGTCCTGATTGACATCTTGACCCAAAGGAGCAACGCTCAGAGGCAGCTCATCTGTAAAGCTTATGAAAAAGCAACTGGCAGAGTAAGATATTAATTTTATTTTATGGTTTTATGTTTTGTTTATAAACTGGGTTGTGTTCATTTGTACATAAGTTTAAAGTTAGGGTGTGTTTGCTGCAGGAAGAATCATTAAAGTTTCTCAACATGACTGAAAATGCAAATAAAACTGCAGCCAGGACAGAACCACTCACTGGTTTGGCTTTCTGCTTGCAGTTTGTAATAAATTAGATTATTAGGTTTTAGGTTTTTATGTTAACTGAACGTTTCTTTTTAAGTAAAGTAATTTACCTGCTTCATACAGGTACATCTGGTTTTAGAGCTGGACAGAACTCAGATTCCTGTTTTTCAGGTTGAGGCTGCAGGTTTTATAGGTGTGGTTGAACCATCAGCTGAATACTGACTTTTAAAGACACTTCGTTTAATCTTTTAAACCAACCCAACGTATTTCTTCAGACGTTGGAGGAAGACCTGAAGGGGGACACGGACGGACACTTTGAACACCTGCTGGTGGCGCTCATCACCCCTCCTGACGTGTACGACTGCCATGAAGTGAAGCGGGCCTTGAAGGTCCGGTTTCTCTTTATCCCTCATAAGTACCCGATTGAAACAAATACTGCGTATTCTGAAAACGTAAACAAAGTAGAACTTGTTTTTTTGTTTTATTTTTTTGTTGCAGGGACCCGGAACAAAGAACAACATTCTGATTGAGATCTTTGCCTCCAGATCCAACGAGCAAATCAAAGCTCTGCTCAAGGCTTATTTACAAGGTAAACAAAAACTGAAATGTTTTTTTTTTAATCTAGGTTTGTTTTAACTTCAGTCTAGAAATTAACCCCAACATGACAAACATTAAAATTACATTATTTTATAAGTGAAGTTTTTTTAAAAAACTATGATTGAAAACATCACAGGTGTGAGCAACAGGTGTAAAAGGTTCGGTCGGGTCTCGTCTCACCTGCTGCAGCTTTTCACGCAGCGCAGATGGGTGATTGACAGGAGTGATCAGCTCTGAATGCAGCGTGCACGTGGAGTGTGCACGAGGAACGTGCACGTGGGCACAACTCCTAATGCAGGAATAAAAACACAAAAATAGGAGATGGATCTTTTTAAGCAAAGTGAGCTGTTCGTCCGAACAGGTGTGTCCAGCCAGAGGGAAAAACAACGAGCTGCACATTCGTTCTTGTGTGTGTGTGTGTGTGTGTGCTAATTTGGGCGGGTGTGTGTTTTTAGCATGAGAAATGCAAAGTGTGTCATGTGCCGTGTGCACACCCTGAAACAGGGCTATTCAACTAAACTGCTCCAGGGGCCACAGTTACTGCAGGTCAACAGAGGGGCCGAACATCCAGCAATTAAAGTTGTTATGTAAATAAACAAAGTGTTACAAATATCTGTTACCTTTGACATAGTTTATTTTACTGTATTTAATCATGAATACAACATACAGAACCCTATAATGTGATATTTAAACATTATAAAAACAAAAAGAACACATTATGCCTCCTATTTGACACTAATATTTTGACGTCTCTGACTTGCCAAATTTTTAAACTTCACTTTCTTCATTTTATCTTCAACTGCTTGTAGTTTTAACTCTTGAGTGTTCATAGAAATGGTTTTTACCAGCTTCTAGCCAAGTTTCTGACGTTTCTGTAGACACCAAACATGTCTATGTTTAACTAAAAGAACTTAGAGTAATTAAAGTAGAAAACCGGGGATTTGGGCTTAAGAGATGAATAAACCAATTGACGGGCCGAACTTTGGTCACTCGCGGGCCGGATGTGGCCCGCGGGCCGCCAGTTGAACAGCCCTGCCCTAAAATGTGTGTGTGTGTGTGTGTCTCACGGTCAATGTGTGAGACTTGAGAGCCCTGCTACTGTTCTGGTAAGTTAAGCCTTTAGCTACTGTTGTGGTGAGTTGAGCCTTTAGCTACTGTTGTGGTGAGTTGAGCCTTTAGCTACTGTTGTGGTGAGTTGGGTCTTTAGCTACTGTTGTGGTAAGTTGAGCCTTTAGCTACTGTTGTGGTAAGTTGAGCCTTTAGCTACTGTTGTGGTGAGTTGAGCCTTTAGCTACTGTTGTGGTGAGTTGAGCCTTTAGCTACTGTTGTGGTGAGTTGAGCCTTTAGCTACTGTTGTGGTGAGTTGAGCCTTTAGCTGTTGTGGTGAGTTGA